ACTGGAATGATACGATTGCAGTTGGTGTTAGTTTTACAATCATACCATTCCTTTGGGGTGTGATTCTGTAAGACTTCATTCTAAACTTCGAATCTGAATCCGCGGTGAGTTTCTTGATTGGCATTCTAAAACTCGATTCCTAACTCGAATCTATGCTAGCGCTACACTTGCGAGTGTGTTTACGAGTTGAACTAAATTGACCGCAACATTTTGACAGATAATGTATGAGATAACGTTGAAAATCGTATTCTATAATGTAATTGCCCCGTCCCTTCGACGCTCACTTCGAACTAGAACAAGATTCAAAATGTCAAATTAAAAGTATCTATTTTACGAGTGAAAATGGAAGAAATAATAGTTAGATAGTGTTCAAATTAAGTTTTGAAAGTAACAATGTGAATAAGTGCTTACCTATTAAAACGATAACGATGGCAAGAATGTTTTTGGTAAAATCTTCGTTAGAAGAAGCTCATGCTTTAGATAAACAAGAAATGCGTCGACAATCTAGCACCATTCGAAGTTTGTCTTTATTAACCTGAGATGACGACTATGTGAGCGTGTATATGCAATGGAGCTGATTGACCAACTGGAGGATGAGGCCTTTGATAAAACCCACAAAACGGCGAGGCAAAGGACTTTGGTATGGTATAGTTCATAACATGTATTGCCTGGTTAGTTATTTCCCTACTTCAGAATATATAATTCTAATTACTAGGTTTTATTTATATTTGATTGGTCGGAAACGGATTACCTGATGGAAAGGATTCAGCGCCGCCAATGGATGGTATAGTTCATAACATGTATTACCTGGTTAGTTACGTCCCTACTTCAGAATATATAAGTCTAATTACTAGGTTTTATTTATATGTGATTGGTCGGAAACGGATTACCTGATAGAAAGGATTCAGCGCCGCCAATGGATACCCGCAACAACAGAGGGATTACGAGTGCGTTGCCGACCTTTTGGGGATTATGGATTTGGAGATTTTGACACACATTCACACGGCGAAACACAACGCTATGGTTGTTTCACGCCAGTTTTCTGTGAAGCCGTGGTATCACTCCGGTCGAGCCGACCCATTCGTGCCGAAACATGGCCTTCGCACACTTAAAATAGTATAAGTACTAGATAGTCATTCGATTTTTTTCAGGTGATTCAGGATATGCTCAACGTGCCTACTTTATGACACCATTAGTGGTGCTGAAGCCATTTCCCCAGAAGCATTTTAAAATAACATACATGCATATTACTGCTCGCAATTTTGAAGAGAGGACAATTAGAGACGAAATTATGTACAATTGCTGAAGTTCAAAGGAAGCAAACTAGGAATTTGCCATCTAATACAGGTTTAAATCTAGGACGTAGGCAAAATATAGTGCCTCAAAGAGCCAATAGACCACCACAGACGGAGCCCTACAGGGCTGATGTTCAGCCACGGTGGCGGGGCAAGCGCAATGAGGTGCCACGGTCACGGCCTAAAGCAGGAGAAGGAACGGGGGGGTTTTAGTCAGTAAGAGTCTGACACTATCTCGCCTTACCCTGGGCGGGAGAAGTGATATGATGATTTTCCCCTGACAAAAAAATATGATTATGATTTTATTTAATTTTATTTTGATTTTAATTCAATTAGGGTCTTGTATGATTTTATTTTTTCCTCATTTTTTTATGCGTGTGATTTCATTGTTTTATTACATTTTTTTCTTTTAATTTAGCCTTACGAGCCTAATTGTTAGACCCTAGTTAATTTATTGTATCCCATAATTGTTTGAATATACAATTGAGTTAAAATCAAATAAATAAATAGTGATATGTGAGGATGGGTCTTTAACTAATAAAACTGCTAGTACTCGTTAAAATTGTTTAATTTAAATATAAAAAAAAAATTTGGTTGAAACTTCTTAAACACTAAAACACAACTTCGTTGTTACACCCTATCTCGATGCATGGCCTCTGCCAATGCTCACAATCCATTCCAGATTGAAACTACAGATCCAGCTAAAATTTAATCATTCCCTAGACTTCTCCTCAGAAATGCTTGCAAGATCTGCGCATTTGATATTTGTAAATTCTTCCAATTGATTTGAAATCGTCTACTCTTCCACCTTCAGGAATCTCTCTGTGATGTTGGAGAATTCCGTTCGCCGTTGTGATGTTGGAGGAGCAGCAACTGAAGATGTGTGACGTGATACTGAAAAGAGAACACCGATTAATATGTGCATTGTTAAAAACTCTTTAACAAATTGCAGCTTTTCGCTGTCGTTTGTTCCAAAAATTAAGTTCTTTCTTCAACCTCTGATAGCTCAACTTCATCTTCCACCACACCAGTCCTGTCCTGCGTCTAGCTGCTAAGCTTCTTATGGCGCTTTTTTCTCAGACCAATACTACAAGCAGACATTTATATTAATAAAGAAGTTATTAAAAAAAGCCTTACTTTTTATTATTATTAATAGTCAATGTAAAATTAAAATAAGATAAGTTATATAACCAAGGAGCACGCCAAGATTCATCGTTATTTTAAGTGGCTTGCATTAAGGAATATTAAATGGTTTTAACATGCCAAAGTAAGCACTACTTACTTCACCTTGGTCCTCTGTTTATAAGTTTTGAAAGTGCCATCTATACCATACAGGCACACGGCTAGTTCCTTCCACTAGCGCCGATTTCGCTCTCTGGCACCTTGAGTTCTCAAGAAACCCTTCGCCAGCCAGGTAAAACCTGTGATGACGACGGGTGTGAGGAACGTATCTCATTTGGACTGAAACATTATGGTTAGATTAGAAAACAAAATAAACACTCTATAATAAATATTATTTTTGAACTTTACAACCAGTAATAAAACTTACTTCATGTTTATGATCTCTCTTTTTATCGGTAAACACGGAACAGAAAAAATATACGAATAAACCAAACGTGGACAAAATAATACAAAGCAAATGACAAAGAGTTTGTCAACAATGAATGAAGACATTATCTGTCAGTTTCTTGTTGGTAAACGAAGCACAGATTATATTCATCGCCTGAATTTACAGTTTTCTGTTTATTTTGTAATAATTAGCTGCCTAAAATTCCTTAAAATAAGAAATTTCAATTTATACGTCATAATATCTAAAATTCTGTGTCAAAAACTTGTTAAAATAAAAACCGATAAATCTCGACTTACATTTTGTGTAGTGTGGTACTACACTAGTACAGTATTGGCCGATTCGGAGCTCACTCCACTTCGCAAGTGCCTAGGTGATGCTTACAGAATGCAAAATCAACGCCATTTTGAACCTTATGCGAAGTGAGAGAGAATGTCGACTTGACATGCGAGTTCGTGTTAGAATTTTATAGAATCGACGTGCTGGTATTGGAACAGAGACCTCACCTCGTGAAAGAGGTGACAAACAATGTCTGCGTTGTGTTGCATTGTGTGGATGCCATCCCCAATAACCAAATCCAACATGTTCATGGCGATGGACTGGCTAGGAATGGCGCTGATTGCTTACCTATACTAAAATGTATACAGAAATTTTGTATGTTCACGAATGGGTCGGCTCGACCGGAGATACCACGGCCTCACAGAAAACCGGCGCGAAACAACCACAGAGTTGTGTTTCGTCGTGTGAGTGAGGTTACCGGAGACCCAATCCTTCCCCTCCCCAATCCCTAAATCTCCCTAATCCCCAAAAGATCGGCACCGCACTCGTAACTCCTCTGTTGTTGCGGGTGTCCATGGGTAGCGCTGATAGCTTACCATTAGGTAATCCGACAGCTCGTATGCCGACTATCACAAAAAAAAAGTTAACAGTTTCCGGGATAAAAATCTTATGAAGCTAGATTTCCAGCTTAGTAATTCAGTTACAATATTACAGAATATAGCAATATATATATATATACAATATTGAACCGTATGTCATACGAGAACTAGTTGGACGGAGATACAAGACACCTTGACCCGTTTTAATTGAACTTGGGAATTGGCGCGGTGCACCTAGTCTCCCGACATACCTAGATATGTCTGTCATTGTTTCTAACTATACTCCGTGTAGGAATACGGCATCATCTCATATCCGGTAACATGTAACTTAACATTGGTACAACTGACCTCAAATATATACTTTATGAAAGGGAGGGATATCATCAAATTTGATCATTTTAATGTGGGAGAACCATGCTTCGGCACAAATGGGTCGGCTCAACCGGAGTGATACCACGACCTCACAGAAAATCGACGTAAAACAACTACAGCGTTGTGTTTTGCCGTGTGAGTGAGATTACCGAAAGCTTGATCTTTCGCCTTCCGCAATCCTGCTCCAATCCTTAAATTTTCAAACCCCTAATCCCCGAAAGGTAACTCCTCGCCGTCGTTGCGGGTGTCCATGGGCGGTGCTGATTGCTTACCATCAGGTAATCCGTCAGCTCGTTCGCCGACATATCCTATTAAAAAACAGATTATTTATCTTTTCCTGCGCGGGGCGAGAAGGAGAGTCAGTCTCTTACGGACTAAATACCACCCGGTTTCAAAGTTTATTGTTCCAAGTTGCTTCTATATTGCACCTACCCTACTTTCTCTACATCACTTCATTCAAAGTTCTAAAGGTGGAAATGCTCCTGGCATTAAGTCCGCCTATTTAATATTATATTGCATAAAGATTAAATAAATTAATTTCATTTTATATTTCCATAATAAAATAATAGATTGTCAGTTGTTTTTGTTTCTAAATAAACTTACAACGTACATACATATACCTGTATATATAATTCCCAAGAAGTCACATTGGCACTTGCCAAAAGCACCCCCATGCATGAGAAGCGGGCGCTTTAACCTAAGGGCCACCACGACACACAAAAATAAAGATACCAAGCTACAATTACATAAGCCTAAATTGATTCTAATTGTCCTTTTCATTTTTCATCTAGATCCTTTCATAAAATTTTGACGAGTAAAAGTACTGTTTTATAACTACGTTTATAGCCTACTAACAAAAACTAATTCATTGTTTCTTTTTGTCATTAGATCCGTGGAACTTCGGTACGAGTATGACACAGAGTACAAGGGCATCCCGACCTACAGATTTGCTGCAAATGAGTGGCTTCTGGACAATGATGAGGGTTGCTTCTGTCTGAACCAAACACGAGGTCTGAACCGCGAGGATGGCTGCCTGCTCAAAGGGGCAATGGAGCTCTACACCTGCGTTGGTGAGTATCTCAAATCCCATTTTTATAACTGCTTTATTACAGGATTTTCCTAGGTACTTTTACAAATTAGGATTGATTTCTTTAAAATAAAGTTAAGTGTACAGAAAAATTCGTAATATTTGCTTGAACGTTCAAGATGCACTGCACTATAAAAATAATCCGCCGTCTGCAGTACGAGCGAAGCAATTTTATTGTTATGAAAACTCTTCTTTTTCTCACAGAAAATATTAATCCTATGATCGCAGGAAATTGATTTGGAAATCACTAGATATACCGCCCGACCGAGAGCGAACAATATTAGCCCGAGCTACTTCGCTCGATTTGCAAAGCATTTTATAATTTTCATCCTCTTCTTAAAGGGGTTTTTGTTGTTATCGTCGTTTTTCTTGATAATTATTTGTTTATTAACTTTAAAACATTCCTTTAAATTAATATTAGAGATTTTTAATCTAATATAATGGCAATTTTAATCCCTCTAGGTCTTCATCTAAAAAAATATACCGTGTTGTGAACCGTGTAGACAAAAGAAATGAAAAATAATATATTTCGTCAATTTCATAAAAAAACCGGTCAATGGAAACGGGCTGACGAAGGTGGTGAATTAAAATGTCAAGTTTATGTTCGGATTTGCGGGGCAAGTGTAATAAGGGACAGGGACCTTGGCCTGAAGCAGAAGTAGGAAAAGAACCTGACGATTTTAAACAAAATGTGACCTAGATCCCCATAAACTATTAGAATAACCTTGTAGACCCTAGATGACATTCAGAGCCCCCATTTTCACATAGATAAAACCCCATTGATCGCGAACGGATGTCCATTTTTCAATATCACGATACTTCTTGGTAAACGTGTGAGGCTAGTTATAGTAAGGCAGTGGATCTTAGTTGATGTTGCATTATGCAACTGATCGACCAGGTGACCAGACCAGAATACCAGCGTTAAACAACACCGTTAAGTTACCGGAGACCCAATCTTTCCCCTCTCATCGTCAATCCCCCCTTAAATCCCTGATAAGCCACAAAAGGCCGGCAACAAACTTGGAGTAACTCCTTTGGTATTACGAGTGGCCATATGCGGCGCCAATTGCTTACTATCAGGTGGTCTAAATACTCATTAGCCGATCTATTCCATAAAAAACAGTACCTCCGTTTACGCAGCGCCATCTCGAAGAAAATTCTATACATAATTACAGTTTTAATTGAAATATCAAATAACACAGGTTCCCTTAAGTTTTAAAGCACAAATCAATTGGCAAAAACATTATATTTATCATTATTACGTCGTTAACAATGACATCATATTTCGGTCATGTATTTTAAAAACATCACACGCGTCCAATCTAGCCGCAGATATTGGTAAAAGCTTTTTAATTGATGGAACCCTGATTGCTCGTGCGAGATTTATATTCGGAATATCAAAATCAATATTCAGCGTCCAATAATAAATTGTGGCTATTGTTTGAAAGTGAACTTCATTTCACCCCATGGCAGTAGGTACAGTCAGATACAGTCGTCACTTGTTTTCTTTTTGTCTCAATTTGATCAAGGTTAAGAAACGTGTCATCTTTACACTAACCCAAACTTCAAATATTAGATAATCAGTCATTAATACGTAATCGTTTTCACACTCAATAATGTTTACTTAACTTTTTATACACAGACCTCAGAATAATACATATGATTAACGTGTACGTACTCTATACGTTACCAACATTTAATCAAACGGTAGTTATCAGTAATAAAATATAGAGTCCTTTGATTTGATTGATAGGCACGATTATTCTTTATGTAGATGTGATATATTAGAATTTACGATAATCTTTAAGTTCTAACTTATTATTAAGCAAGAGAGGCCAACGGCGCACCTCTTGACCCGCCACGGAAATCAACCGAATGTTTACATACTATGCGCGCACGCATGCACGCCGCACTCCGCCCGCCGCTTGACCTTGAACAAATTTTATCACTAACGCTTACTAATTCTTACGCTCAATCGATTCATAATGAAGTCATTAATACACAAAACTAGAACTTAAAATGTTCTTTAGTTATAATATTCTCCAATAATACAACAACTACTACTACCATTTTAAATATTGGCCCTTACACTAGAGTAGAGCGGCGCCCGAAACCAAATTTCTAAGGGATCCGAAAATTTAGACGCACTTGCAGAGTGCAGTTTATTAAGCACGCAAAGCATGTTTGCGCTCAACCGTTGGAGTGACGTCAAAGCTTTCCCAGCCGTACCCTGCACGCTCTCCCCCTAACTGTAAATAATTAGAACAAAAAGCTATCACAGCATGAGTTTGTTTCTGCGGCTTCAAAAACTAGATAATAATAGTAGTTGGAAAATAGGGCATCCAGATCAGAGATCTGGATACCCTATTTTCCACATTTTAATCTTCTATTCACATATTATTTTAAGATAGCAGGCATGGCAGTAATATTCATAAAAAAGATCATACTTATTGAATATGATAATATGGAATGCTCTCGCTATTATCCATTGCGCTGCCTTATATACCTAGGTACGTAGTGCAGTGGCTATTTATTACATGTATAAGAATGAGTTAGCAATAAAAAAATGATATTTTGAATTATTTTATTTTAAATATACAATTTTTGATATTTTTATAGTTGATATCTATTCATTACTACATAGGTACACTTATAATTATTTACATAAACTTTTTTAGAAAATTAAACATACATAAGTGGTAAACGGTAACGTCTATACATTTTAAATTATTAAATCTATACTCTTGGTTCGATGTCATCCTGAATTTTGGCAATTAATTCTCTCGTACTGGTATATATATCATCGTATAATATAGTTTTCACAACATGTTGAACACACACATCAGCCTCACAATTACACATCGGCTGTTCGGATTTTTGAAAACTGTCTGTATCATAGATTTCTATTTTTATTATTTTCGTTCCACGAGAAACAGGCTTCTTTATAAATTGATAGAATGTCTGATCTGTTTTTGATCTCTTGCGAGCGAGACCCAGCGTCTTCTGTCCAGTGGTTTGTTGGACTGGTTGATTCATGGGTACAAAATTGAAGAGATCCTCCGAGTCCTGAAATAACAATACAATATTAATTTAAGTTACACTACAAACGTTACGATTGAAATAAAGGCTTATGTGGAAATAATTAATGCTGTGATGCTACTTACTACTATTGTTAATATTAATACATTTTTAAATTGTTAGTGAATGTATTAAAGTAACACTTACCGACATTCCGCAATTATATCAGTCTGATTCAGTCTTCACCATCAGATTCAAAGATGAAATGGATTTCAATTTATTATATCCCCCTTTTATATTTTTAAATTTAATTATTTCTTTTAATACATAGAGTTCAATATCGTATATTTTTGTTAGATGTTAATATCTATACAAAAATGGTATGGTGAAATTGAAACCGCAGACATTACGACGCCTAACATTTTATTGTTTATCGAAAATATATATCGACAAAATAATACTACTGTATTTTTGTTCACGGTTATTGTTTTCATACATTTTATTAAAATGATTTGGCAAGCAAAATCATGGTATGTTAATAGTATATCAGCGTTAGCGAATTTGCAACGTAGCTGAATTCTTTTTAAGGAGACGGATCATAACAATTGATCAATATCGACATACAATTATTAAGCCTGGTTTTACCTGCTATTATTATTATAAAGATTAAAAATAAATAGTTTTTTGTTATTAATTTATTTTTTTAATAGCTTAGATGTACCTCTATGCTGGAATAAAACACAAGATTTACTTAATCGATCTGATTATTATTGTAGTAGGTACCTACAATTAGTGAGCATCGACACGTTTTACGTTTTCATACAATTGTTCAACTTCTTCTATATTTCATAAAAACAAATAAGTTATCATAGTAATTGTGAAAAAATTATAAGATAAATACAAGCTTATTTTTACATACCGAAATATGAGATTCTGACTAGTCATATCTCCATTCCTCCACATGTCTAGAAGTTGCATGCGAGCGTGCAAACCGCAGCGTTTGTACCGTCGCCTGACGTCAAAAACATTCAGTAAAAAACAACAATCTTCAAACTTTTTTTCTAAATATGAAATTCCCCTATTGTTTATTTAAGTAAGTATCTATATTCATCATCCGTCTACATTATCTATCTATACATATAATAATCTACACTAATATTATATAGAGGAAAGATTTGTATTTTTGTATGTTTGTAACGAATAAACTCTAAAACTACTTAACCGATTTCGATGAAACTTGGCATACAGATAGACCATAACCCGGAATATGACATAGGATTTTTTATCTCAGTATTAAGTTCCCGTGGGATAATTTAAAACTAACGCGGGCGAAGCCATGGGTAAAAGCCATCTTATATAATAACACTAAGCTTAAAACCTTAACCGCTCAGATTTGTACGCTCGTGTATGCAATTTTTGCAAGTATGCAGTTTTACAAATTTGGATTGAATGATGTGATTTTAGGCCTATAAAAAACGCATAGCAAATTAGTCTCCGGTACAATTCCTCTCTGGTACGAATCCTCTCTACAACGGATCAACTCTCCGAGCTCCTGATCAAGCTACCTGTCTAAACACCTATCAAGAATGTAAGTATCTATTCATAATCATTTATCTAACTATTAAATGGTCAGAGCAATGTATTAGTTGATATATTCAAGTATTCGAATGTTGACCGTCAATATTGTGATGCAGGTTCGATTCCTGCACAGATCGAATATGCTACTTTGTGTTGAAAAAAAAAAATGAAAACTAAGTACCAGTTACATAATTATTTTAATTTATTTCAACTATAACACAATGATAATTATGACTGCTTATGAAAGATTGGACAGTCGAGGGTTCCATTCTCGTAACGTTTCAAGTCTAACTGTGACATACATATAGTTAATCTGATCATTATTTCTTATCTCTGTAGCATAGATAGAATATTCTAGTTTGACGTTAAGACTATGTGTCTGTACCT